GCTTTCGGTTCACCCCCAAGTTAGTGTTGCTAGGCCCGCGATGAGTTTCCCGGTCGGTTCCCGACCGCAGTTGTTTACTACCGATATTACACGAATATATATAGTCTGCTCTTAGTTTGTTACAGTCCACTCGAGCACGGTACCCGAGTGCTAACCATGATGGCCGATTCCAAAAAGGTACCCTACTTGCACAGTAGCGAATATCCGCAGATGGGCCGGTATCGTACAGTGCGGCACTTGGCTGTGAAGCAAGAGTGACGGATGCCCCCCACATCCAAGACTCTGATGATATTGTGCCGGTTATCCCCTTGGGGTCTGCCCGGTTTGGCTTTCGGCCCCGGTTCCGGGTGCTTGTGCTCGTGAACCACGTTGGTGCGGGCGACAGTTATGTAGTAAATAACGGTGGTTTGGTCAGTTGTGCTATCTTACAGATCTCGTTTTATCGCTGGCGGCGGGGGAGGGGGAGGGGGGGCAAGGGTTTTGTATTTGTACTCGAGTAGACTTTGTGGACTTTTTTTTTTTTTTTTTTTTTCCTCTTCTCGGGGTTGTGGGTGTGATGATTGCATGAGCTGCATGGTGGCTTGATATTAATATTGACGAGTAGATTTAGATGACGTTCCTTTTTTTTCTTCTTCTCCTCGCGGGAAGGAAGGATGGAAGGAAGCAAGGAAGGAAGCTTTGGTCCCATTGTGGGGGGGTTGGGGGTACGGTACCAGTATTTGTGACATTATGCTCCGTTGCTCCAAACTCGAGCTCAGCCTTCGAGGCTTTGGGAGACTAACTTTAACGGTGGAATGGAGCGTGCATTGATTACATACGTACATACATACATCTACCCAGGGTCTAGGTAAAGTTAACTCGCCATCACCCGGGAGTGCGGTGCAGAGACTGGTGAAGCTATGAAGGGAGGAAAAGGAGGGAGGATGAAATGAAATGAAATAAGGGCATAAATTGCATTCGACGAATGGATTTTTAACTTTCTCCAGAGAAAAAAGGGAGTGTGGGAGTAAAACATTTCCAGGGAGGAGAGGGAGGAAGGGTGAGGGAAGGGTGAATGGATGATAGGGATGGGTGATGCCCACAAAGTGTGATCTCGGATTCACTTCGATGTGAATTCGTGGATCAGGAGTCAGCGCCGCGATCGAGAGTTTTTATCGTACCCTGCCAGCGGCTGCTCCTTTGGAACCACACACTGCCCAACGACTTATTTCCCTGATCTTGACCACGGCTGGTGCCCCGTCAGTTTCTGAGAATTGAATTTTTTTTTCTTCCCCTTCTTTTCGCAGTGCGGTACTTTTGTGGCTCGAAGGGTACTTGTACGAGTACACGGGTACATCGTTGCTGTTGATGCTGGGGTCCAGCCTTCCGGCGGTGGTGGGCTTCAAAGGTGGGCTACGGGGTAGCGGAGGGTTGGATAAGAGGGAGGGAAAGTGTATCGTGGACCGTTTGGGGTTGGCGGGAGGTGCGCGGTGGTGCAGGGTAAACTATGGTATCATGAGGATATGATGATGATGCTGTGTCGGCATTGCCTTCTTGCCTGTGGAACAAGTTATGGAGGAGGTTTGTGCAAGCGAGTACCATAATCTCGAGCACTGTACCGCACTCGTACCGTACACCATTGACATATGGTGAACTGGAACGAGGCTTCGAAGAGGAATACGGTAGGAGACAGAGCCAACTCTGCCCGTTGAGTTCTCGACCAGCTTGCGCCACTCTTCCTTCCAGCTGCGCATCATACGAACTGACCCGTCCTCGTTGCGCTACGTTACCTTACATTTCGTTATTCTGTCTGCCACCAAACTCGTCCGCCGCACCTCACCTCACCTTACTCAACCTGCCGACTGACTGACCGCCTGTCTGCCCGTCCATTCGCACTCTCGGAAAGCTGGCTGGGCTGAGGGAAGGGGAGCGAGCCCCTTCGATTGATCATCAGTCAATCAGCCAGTCGGTCCGCGGGAGACAGCTTGACGGACAAAACACCCTTTGCTAATAGTGAACCGGGGAGTGGGCAATTGATATAGCAATTCCGTCGAATTTCAGTTTGAAGGGAGATCCCCCCCTTCGTCACCGCTACTCACTGTATCCAGTTTTAGAAAAAGGGGGGGGGGGTGGGGAAACATTGTATCATACAGCTACAGTACAAAGCTCCTCTCCACCGCACACGGGTACCATCGATACACACTCGTGCTTGTTATATAATAGTTATCCCATCATACGTGCCTCTTCGTCTCATCTAACTTGCTGTAAATATTTGAATTCCTTCGCCCCACTACCACCACCTTGCTCCCTCCCCTCCAACCCCCCCCCCGGTCAAAAGTAGGGTCAAGCTTCAGTCGAGAGTTGAGAAAGGGTTAAGCCAGGAAAGTCAGATCAAGGCCGAATCGGTCCATTCGCCTAGGCAACTGCTGCTTCGACGAGAAACATCAACATTTCCCTTGTTTTCTTTTTCCTTCTCCCTCTCCTTCTTTGCACTTTCAAATTGCACGGTATATCTCTCCCTCTCCCTCTCTCCCTCTCTCCTCTCTTTTAAGCTATCACCCTATCATACGGTATTTCACCTATCCCTTC